TCATGTTTCGGACATTTGGGATGTTGTTTCAGGTTTTCTTTTGTCAGTTTCACCTTTCCTTCACAAATGTCCTCCAAAGTAGCTATTATGTGGCTTGATGAAGTAGCAAATCTTTTGTGTGAACTATGACAACGTGAGCAGATATTCTGGGCACAATCCAGACAACGACGTGTTGCCTCATTGCCATCATCACATGTCTCACAGAGCAGCTTTGTGCCACCCGAACACACCAACTTTTCCTGCAGTTCCAATTCCTCTACCAGACCAATCAGATGAAAGTTTGTTTTAAGACCCTGCACACCCACCTCAGGAAGTTCCGTCTCCTGTCGACACACAGGGCAAGGAATCGCTGTAGCACCCTGGTGCTTCGTGCTGCAGTATTTCAGCAGACATTGCTCACAAAAGCTATGCAGGCATTCCAGTATCTTGGGCTGTTGATATCTCCCTTGACAGATGCTGCACTCAAGATGATGTCTGCTGATCTTCTCTAGTGCTGAACTTACTGCACGCCCAGTCGCCATTTCTGTCTAATAAATGTGAAGAAAAATATTTCATTTAAAACATAACAGTGATAAAAACGTATCACTCGTATGTTTCCCTTTATGGGTGGGGACCACTAGTAATTGACAGGATGTGTTTTTGCATTTGAAATGAATCGATGTGTGCAGGAATCTCAAGATGTAAATTAAAAAGAAACAAGTGCAAAATCATATCCTTATCCATAAACTGCACCTCCTCTTCAAAACATCACATATTTCATTTTATCTGTGATGCTTCCTTGGATATCTGATATTGTTCGTTAATCTGGGAAGGCAGAAATCTGAAAGTGACTCTATCATCTAATGTTGCACTTTATCATAATATGTCAAATTTCTGAATGCAAAACATCAATATACATGTACAAAGTTAAAGTTGTAAGATGCTCCATTGTGGCCCATGAATAGGCCTATTTTTTCCTGGACATCCTTCGTATTTAGAGCCACACAGCAATGCAAATATAGTAATTATCATGGACAGATATGGATACTCCAATCTTTCGCATTATATTTTTTGAGATAACATCATAACATGACATGGTTTCGTCTTTATCGTTTTATTTTCATCTCCATTATCATCTCCATTATCATGATAGCCGTCATTCGTTTTTAAAACATGTTAAAAAATAATAACAAAAAGTGTGCTGTACTTGTACGTTAAATCTATAGTCCTGTGCATCGAGCAATGCCATTAGCATTACTCGATATATTAACAGCCATACATGTACATGTACATGTATTAACAAGTACATGGAGTACATGTACATACATGAACGTGGTATTACAACGTAAAAAATGCCTCATCAGAATTTCACAACAAAATGCTTCTCCAGGATTTAAGGAAGACAAAGATTATTGTGCTCACGGTACTCACATTTATCCGACGTTCCTGGTTTGGATGGCAAAATGATGTTTCTGTTGAGTCGAAAGGAGCGAATCTTTAGTTTGGTTAATTTCAGGCTCCAAACACTCAACGCGGAAGTCATGGAAGTAGAAGTCGAAGTGAAATGTAATATGAAGAGCGCCTCCAAGTGACAGCACGGCAATTTTTCCTATGCATGGTACAGTAGATAGATTGTGTTCGTGACCATGGAGGTAGGAAACACGTGACCATCTGTTCGAAACTTTTACTTACTCTGAATCTGGGCCAAAAAAAATGCATCTAAAATTAATAAATAACAAAATAAACCAATACCGAGGGCTTTTATCAAGCGTCATCGCCAGTGCATTCGAATGTATTTTCAAGTTGTCTGCCCAACTCTCTCTTTGTAACCGTTGAGGGGGTAATTGTTTGATTCTCGACTGCTGGACTATCAACAGGGATGGCCTTTTTTGTTTGGCAGTGCACTCCTATTTTCCCATCTCTTTTAAAAAAAGAATCTGCATTTAGATAGGTATATATATTTGTAATTTCCATTTTACATTTTTTTTTTGTATTAAAAAAAAAAACAATTCTCCATGCATTCATTGTTTTTAAAGGGGGGGGGGGAGGCGGGGGGCGTGGGGATGCATGGATGTGCTGGGGAGGTTTCGAAATTAGATATAATGTATTAGATATAATGCATTAGATATAATGTACACATATTTTTAATTTCCATTTTACATTTTTTGAATTTTTAAAATTCATTAATTGTTTTTTGAAGGGGCGGGCGTGGGGATGGATGGGTTGGGGAGGTTTTGAAAGTACCTACGTCCATTGAAAAACCAACACTTCCTATTGAGGATGTCTAAATGAGCCTGATTCCTGATGTGAGGGCGGTATAGGATCCGGAGAAGCTTCCATTTTCTTTTTCATTTTTCTTTAAAGTAACCGCCGCTCATTGCCGGAAATGGGATATCTGAGCCCCTTCTACTCTTTTATCTTCATTTTTTATAACTTCTAAACTGCATTTTTTTTAATTGCCGCATTTTCCCAATATAATTGTGGCGGAAAACATGCACATCTCATATGAATCACGGATGTTTTAAAGATTGATTCTCCGAGTCATTCTCTATGAAAAGTCTATTTGCGATGAATGCACACAAAAAAAAAACAAAGAAAAGTGATATCCCCATGAAACCATGCAGTTGCCTTTGACTTTTATTTAATTCACTGTTTGCAGAGTTCGAGACTGACCATCTGGCAAGTGGCTGTATGATGACCTCTCCTGGATTAAAGCTCATAGAAAATTGACTTGTCAGTTCTTATTATTGTGCAGAATTTGGATATCTCATCATCATTCCGATTCAATTTGTTTGCAACTTGTTTGTTTTATGTTGCCACATCTAGGGCAGAACGTGGGCAGAGATTTGGAGGTGATTCACACTCACAATTGCGAATGTACAATTGAAACCCGGCCAGTGCTTTTAATAACTTTCTTTTCGAAATTGAAAGAAGACCCTCCACATTTGCTGCTTTTGAGGAGAAACCCATGTTCACTGTCAGACGTTCAAATTGCTTCATTTATTCAAAACTGAAAGATTGTTTGGCAAGTTTGAGATTTTGCCGTTGCGTATTGCTTTTGTTTTGTTTTGGTTTTGCCACAAGCAACTTCTTGACTCATGTTTTTCATGTACTATATCAGGCTCATATAATATAACACTACACGTATTGTTCAGGGATCGACATGACAGCGAATACAGAATTAAATTGTAAAATCAAACTTTCAACCTAATTCCAGAAATTTTAATGTATCTTTTATCATTTTTGACCGCTCATCTATTGTTTTTACTCTCCACGCAGTCCATGGCTCCTCCTTCTACAGCAAATACAATTAGGGCGCGGTGCTGTCATAACGGTTTCGTATTGTTTAATCTGCAATTACCTGAATTCTTTGTAATTCCAAACTGTGTTCCCAAAGAGTGTATTTCCTGCTAAGCAGTAAAACACAGAGAATGCAGACAAACAAAAATGACCTGTCAAAATTCAAACGAGGTGATCGCTCAGAGACACACAGCATTATTCCACACCATTCAAAGCGGCCGTTTTCATTAGAATATGATTAAAAAAATGTAAACAAATACATTAACAAATTCATTAAACTTTGTCCTCGCGTTTCAACACGTTTTTGTTTTTGGAAATGGACTCGATTCGAGTTGAACATAGTCCGAATCAGTCACTAGCCGAGTCTGACTCAAACCGAGTCCAAAAGGTAACGAGTCTGATGCCAGTCACGAGTCAAACAAAAAAAATAAGCAAATAAACTGACTCGAGTCCTCCAAAATATACCCGCCTGAATCACCTGAGGGGGGGGGGGGGTTGATAATTCAAAGTACGTTTGCTGAATAATTACTCCTAAACTTATAATGCGACAACTTTTCCTCCCATTCCCCATTTTAAATTGAATAAATTCGTATTGCCAAAAATACACAGAATAAATTCAATTACATAAAAAAAAACCGCTTCTTTGCCATTTAAAAACTCCCCCATCAAATTCAAATACAGTCTCAATAACAGGACCATTTAATTAGGAATCGAAATGTTAAGTGTCATTTAAATATGTCCAAACAATTAGAGTGTTGTCTGCTAAATGAGTAACGCCTACCTTCTGTAAGTCATTTAAAAAGTTGAACAAAACATACAGTGAGCACATCATTGATTAGTTTGAAGAAATCCCCGCTTTATTGAAAATAAACAAGTTTTTTAGCCAAAATATACAGACAAACAAGTATAGTGTAGTGCATTGTAGACGAGTGTACGGTATTCGAGTGCGCGGTCGATCTTTTGGAGTTCGGTCAATTGGCACTCAAGGGTATTTATTAGTATCATCCCGTGTCAGGCTTGTGTGACTCCTTCTGTTTGCACAAAGTCAATTGCATTCGCGTACTGGTATCGTGAAGCCCTGTGTATCGACCTTAAACATACACAAATGCAAAGTACAAGCCTGCATACAAAACATGCACCACAGTTTAATAAGCTATAGCTGTAGCATTTAATTGTTTCAAAAACACTATTTTCCTTTCCAATTGGGAACTTTGTCATGAAATACCTAGCTAGGACAGTGGAAACATTCCTATTGGCCGAGAACCGATCACGTTGCTTGAATGTACCCCTTTGATACAAATCAGGTTATAGCATCTTACGTATATTTCAGTAATCACTTTTAACAAACTTAATCTCATGAAATCTATATAAAGCAAAATCTACTCAAAACATATGGTTGATGTCGAGAATATACATTAATGTATTGGACTTTTGGTTAAAAGATACAATTCTCTTAACTTCTGTTCATGATAAGGAGTATTACATGTATGTTGGCGACAATGCAAATATGAAATCAAGAGCTAAAACTTCCCTAGGCCGATTTTGTCACTGTAGGATTTCGTCTATATGATTATCATGAGTCGTAATTATCACATAATTTGTTTTCATGTAATGTTTTTGATCAAGTTTCTTAAAATAAACCAACCCATTCATTGAAGCAGCTGGAATCAACTAATACAATTTTAGTTTTGAAATGAACTAAGTCAAATCAACAGAGAATGATCACATTTCGAGAAATTGTGTATTTACAGGCAGGCTAATAGCAATTAAACAAAATGTCTTAGACAGAACAATCAAACTTAATTTTGAATTTGACTCTACTTGACATATTTAAACAGTTTTTAAATTATCTCGAGATATTTGGGAAATTGTGTCAAATTTTCTTGAACAGTTAAAAGAAATGTATACATGTATGTATCTTGATCATTGAGTTAAAAATTAACCAACACTGTTTGTTCTTTTCAATTGAAAGCTAATCCTCAGCTAAATTCTTAGGAAAGCTTACAGATTCCTATTGGTCAAGCACCAAACAACGTGGGTTGAATTGAAACCCTGTAACAAATCGGGCCTTCTTATTTTCAGTATTCAATATTTACAAACTGAGTCTCATGTAATCTAAAATGTACTCACAACATATAATCGTAGATGTCGAGAAAATTCTAAATATATAATTGAACTGTCAGTTATTACATCAAACATTTCTCGTGACGTCTTTACAGTACATAATAACCTGAAGGTTATGCTGGTTTTAATTAAAGAAACAAAACAATGTTTCGTTTCATAGGAGCTAGCTCACATGATTAACATCATGAGTTGTAATAATCACTGCATTTGTTTCCATGGAATGTTTATTTTATTCCTCTTTCTTCTCGAATTTCAATTTCTCTACATAACTCAACCCATTGAGGCAACTGAAACCAACTAATAAAACCTTGCTTTGAAATAAGCGAAGTCAAAATCAGCATAGGATGATCATATTTCTTAAACTGCGTATTTACAGGCGGGTTGAATATAAATTACAATATGTTTTTAACAGAACGATCAAGCTTAGCTCTACAAATGTCGCAATTTCTTGGCAAAGGCTTCTATCTGCTGTTGTAAGATGAAAGTTTGCCAGAACTATTGTGATGTAGGCCTGCTAGGCTTTCGGGCCGAATTCATTTTTGTCTTTCAGGAATTTCATTGTTTATTTAGTCTCTCACAGTTGGTCAATGAGCGTCTATTGTGCACAAACATAATTTTGTCAATGGGCTACAATTTTTATTCATATCGCGTTACCACCCTCAGTTGTCAGAACCAGTATGTTGTTTGTTGAAAAACGAAATACATCTAACGTGTCAGAAAAATTGATATTGAAACAAAACTGTAATCGTGGTATTTCAAGTTTTCTCTTGAATTGCGTTTTACTTTGTTCATCCTTATAGTATTTGAACAGAGGATGCATGTTAATATACATGAATTAAAAACCTTATTTGCTTTTAAGGTTTTTTTTCTGCTTCGATTTGATTCTTAAAGCTTTTTTCAAAATTATCACCGGATTTGATTCAATGTAAATTTGTTATCTTATTTTTTTTCTTTTGAATGAACTGAAAAGGTGACTCATATACTTATACTTGATGAAATTATGACAAGATATCTTCAACCGCCCACAGTTGTGGACAAAATCGACCGATTGATCAGCAAGTCAAAATGATACAGGTAACACATGCAATCCAATACCGTACACGTTTTTTGTATGATACGTGATGTATCAATATTCTAAAACTTTTAATTCATTGTTGTGATAGGACCGCTCTTTACTTTTTCTATCAACATGCCTCAAATGATGCGAAATTGACATGACTGATGTCAATGTTGTATCACACCTGGTGATACATTTTGACTGAGGAGTAGTCAGCCACTGCCAGCTGACCGTGTGATGAGAATGTGATACCCAGTGGGTTGTACAGACCCTGTGCGATACACTGGAGGAAGCCACCTTGAGGGTCATAGTGGTGGATATGACCCGTGTTGTAACCTTTGGACATTGCAACATACATACCTGAGCTATCAGTGCATACACCGAAGCAGTAACATACTGGTTGACCATTGATGGTGGGTTTGATGGTGCGTTTTGTAGTACCATTGCCACCGGCAATATCCACTGTCTGTGATGAAAAGTCACTTATTATAACTCGATCATTGCTGTCAAAAGCCAGGAAATAAGGTTGAATCTCGACTGGTATGGTATGAAGGAGCTCACCATCAGTGGGGCTGTGCACTGTCAGTACCATCCTCGCCACATCTCCCACTGCAATGGTACCATCATTCTTGACAGCTACGCTCTGGAGGTCAACCGTGGTCTTACCGACCTCACTCGGTGGCACCGTTGGGAACTTGTATGCCAGCGTGTTGTCACTGTTGAACACCTTCACATGGGATGCACCTTCCTCAACAACCACCAAACAATTGTCGCTGCGTGTAGCTGCGATGCCACGTGGACCTGTAGGAGTCACGATATAAAAACAAACAGTCATAATAATCAATGGTTTATTTGGATTTCAATTTTCTAAAACCTCCAACAATGAAATATTTAATATAGTGTTAATAAGCAAAGGTGTCTGCCAAAGAATATTTTCGAGGTTGGATGTACTACATTGTATGCTTGGGAAATCACCACGTGTTAACGTATCCTTTAAGTTTTGAGGTTTTAAGCTTGTCTATATATCTATGCCCAGATAATGTGGCAGAAACTGTTTTTCATTAATGTATCTTTTAGTGTGAATAATGGGAAATATAAAAGACTTTGACTACCATACAGAAATCAAACGAAAATGCGTCGGGAAGAGCAAAGGCCAAAAAAACCATAATAATAAAAATTAAGCTTGTATTTGTTCATTTCATGGACACAAAAAAAGGAAATTGGATTTTTCAACATGGATGATGCATTTATATTAAAAACATCTCCATGTTATGAAAAACAAGGTATTCATTAAAATGTCATGCATTACATTTACTGCGATACCGTTTCATGAGATCTTGTGAGGAAAAAAATATATTAACCTTATAATGATGGGCAAAGAAGAATTGTTAGTGTGCATAATTCTGGAGATGCACTGTAGTTTAAACTTACATCCTTGCATTGGAATCGTGCTTTTCTTGTTGCCATCGATGCTGCAGATCACAACTCGACTGTTGAATTGGTCACCCACTGCAATCTCATCAGGTTTACGAGCAGCAACGTCCCAAGCCCCTCTAAACTCTCCTGGATTGCTTCCCGCTGTATCAAACTCTCGATACAGCTCCCATTTGCCTTCCGTTACCACCTCACCCAGACTGATGCCACCAACACCCTCAGTCTGCTTGAACTTCAGGAATGCGAGCCTGTTGTCAACTCTAGGTATACTCTGATCTGCCAACAATTTCAAGTCTATGCTGATTGTGGGATAGAGTGAGAGAAAGTCACTATCTGATGCAGTACTTGCCACCTCTCTAGCTGTGTCTAGTGAATGCGCGAATCTCTCCAATGCCAAGCACATAGTTTTCTCACATTCTTCCAGTTTTTGTTCGCGATCTGTTTGGATGTTTTTGATGTCGTCAACGATGCGATTTTCCTTAGCCGTTACCTCTGCTCGTATCTCAGCTGCTTTGTCTTGCACTTCTGTCATGACCCTCTTAACTGTGACACCCAAATTTTCCTTCATTCTGAAGACTTCCTCCCGAGATTTCTGGATATGCAACATTGTGTTTTCAAGTGGAGTAAACAGTTCAGCCAATGACTGCTTGAAAACCGATGTGGCTTCATCTCTCTCAATATATGTGTGTTCTGGCATGCGGTGGTTTATGACGGTACAATCTCGGCAGATCAACAACTCACATGACGTACAAAAGAACCGTGCCACTTCCCCCTCATGGATCAGACATTTCGGATGTTGTTTCAGATGTTTCTTTGTGACTGTAACCTTTCCCTCACGAATGTCCTTCAATGGAGCTACCTTGTGGTTTGATGTGGCTGCGAATCGAAGATGCATTCTGCTGCAGACTGAGCACATATACTGGCCACAATCCAGACATCGCTGCGTTGCCTCGTTGTCTTCCTCACATACATCACACAAAAGACAGGTATCACCCGATCCCACTATCTTTTCCTGAAGTTTAAGCTCCTCAACCAGACCAATCAAATGAAAGTTGGTTTTCAGACCCTGCACCCCAACCTCAGGAAGCTTTGTCTCCTGTCGACACACAGGGCAAGGAATCGCTGCAGCACCCTGATGCTTCTTGCTGCAGTATTTCAGCAGACATTGCTCACAAAAGCTATGCAGGCATTCCAGTATCTTGGGCTGTTGGTATCTCTCGTGGCAGATGCTGCACTCAAGATGATGTCTGCTGATCGTCTCTAGAGCTGAACTTACTGCAGGTCCAGTTGCCATTTTTGTCTAATAAATGTGAGAAAAAATATTTTATTTAAAACATAAGAGTGATACAAATGCATCATTCGCACGCTTTCTTTATGGGTAGGGACCAATAGTAATTGGCAGGATGTATTTTTGTATTTGATATGAAACGATGTGTGCAGGGCTCTCAAGATGTTAATTAAAAAGAAACAAGTGCACAATCATATCCTTATCCATAAACTGCACCTCCCCTTCAAAACATCACATATTTTATTTCATTTGTGATGCTTCCTTGGATTTGTGATATTGTTCGTTAATCCGGGAAGGCAGAAATTTGACAGTGACTTTATCATCTGATATTGCACTTTATCATTATGTCAAATTTCTGAATGCAAAACATCAATAAATGTGCAAATATAGTTGTAAGATGCTCCATAGTAGTGGCCCCATGAATATTTTTTTCTCCTGGATTTCCTTTGTATTTAGAGCCACACAGCAATAGGCGTGCATGCTAAGATCTCCTGAAAAGGAAATTCACTTTCGAAGGACTGCTATACAGGCCTGTGCTTGTGCACAACCAGGACAAGCGAAATCCGTACATCATGTAATATATTCAGGGGAAGTTTGGAGTATAACTACATGTAGTATATAGGCTTCTCGAGGTCATGGATTTACCATGATGCACCATTGACCTTATGATTATTTTGTGTAGTTTGTGCACTAGGTAGATTTCATAGCGGATATCAATTGGAAAACAGTCCAAATTTGAAATTCAGGAAACACGTCATTGTAGGAAATGTACAAATGTAGCACAATCGCAATGGGTGCGTGACTCAATATACAAAAATGGCCAGTATCACAACATGTTGTGTATAGACATGAATAAAGTTATAGTCATACCATATAGGTCAGCAATACTGCCAAAAGAAGACGCGACCTTATTTCATAATTACCATATACATGTATACTGTTTTCATAAAAAGGTCCTTAACGAGGTTGAAATTAGCACTTTTGTTGTTTCTTATGCAGAGTCGTCTCATAGATTTGTAACTGTCATGAACAGATGGGTACTCCATTCTTTCCCATTATATTTTCTGAGATAACATGACATGGTTCCTCTTTATCGTTTTATTTCCATCTACGTTTATATTGTTTTACAAGCTGTCAGTGTCATTCTTTTTTAAAACATGTTAAATCATAGTCCTTTCTATCGAGCAATGCCATTACTCTATATATTAACAGCCATAAAACGAGTACACGTAGAACATGTACATGTACGTCATACATGCACATGTTCATTTGTCATGTTTGTACATGTATCATAAAACAAATGTATTGTAGGATTCCCAAACGTATACAGACACGCAAAAAATGACACATCATAATTTTACGACAAAATGCTCCTCCAGGATTTAAGGAAGACAAAGATTATTGTGCTCACATTTATCCGACGTTCCCTGTTTGGATGGTAAAAACTGAAATGATGTTTCTGTTGAGTCGAAAGAAGCAAATCTTCAGGCTCGAAGCAATCAACGCGGAAGTGGAAGTCGACGTAAAATGTAATATGAAGAGCGCCTCCAAGGGACAGCACGGCAATTTTTCCTGTGCTTCTTGTAGGTCAATGGCCGAGTTCGGGCAGCCTAGTCTTGACACGGGTCGTATTGTTCTTGCGACCGACCGGCGAGAACACGACTCACGAATACTGCACTCGGAACAGGATATCTGTCTGGGTTTTGCTCGCACCACTGAGTTAATATAGCTCCATGCACAAACAAAATACCCGTGTCAGGAACAGACCGCCCGAACTCGGCCTATGGTACAAGTTAAGTAGATGTTCGTGATCAGCTGTTCGAATATTTTACTCACTCTGACTCTGGACTCTGGACAAAAACTGAATCTAAAATCAATTAAGGAATAATACCAAGGGCGTCATCGACATCCTTCGCCATCGGCAGTGCACTGTATTCGAATGTCTTTTTCAAGTTGTCTGCCCAAACTCTCCCTTTGTTACCCGTTGAGGGGGTAATTTGAACGGATTATTGTGTTTCCTTGTTTAGCAAAAACAAGGGATGGCCATTTTGTTTGGCAGCGCACTCCTCATTTCCCCACCTCATTACAAAAACTTCATTAGATATGTATATACTTTTTAAATTTCCATTTTCCATTTTTTTGTATTTTTAAAATAAAATGTCTCCATGCATTCATTGTTTATTGAAGGGGGGGGGGGAGGGGTGTGGGGAAGATTCGAAAGTACCTACGGCCTTTAAAAAACAAACACTTGAGGATGTCCAAATGAGACTGATTCCCGATTTAAGGACGGTATCATTTTTCTTCATTTTTCTTTAAAAAAATAACCCGCGTTCATTGCCTGAAACGGGATATCTAAGCCCCTTTTACTTTTTTGTAAATTTTTTTTTAAAATAAATTCTAAACTGTATTAAATGCTGCATCTTACTCAATATATGTCGGAAAACATGCATTTCTCATATGATTTTAAGTTTTATTCTCAAGTCATTCTTTATGAAAAGTCTATTTGCGATCACAAAATAGTGATATCCCCATTTTTTGACTTTTGACTTTTATTCAATTCACTGTTTGCAGAGCTCTGATGAGACTGACCATCTGGCAAGTGGCTGTATATGATGAACTCACTTGGATTAAAGCTCACGGACAAAATACACTTTGTAGTTTTGATTATTGTGTAGAATTTGGATGCCTCGTCATCATTCAGATTGTTTGCAGCTTTATGTTGCTACTTCTACGGCATTAACCGATGTGGATGGAGATTTAGAGGTGATTCACACTCACAATTGCAAATTATGTACATTATTATTCCACACCATTCAAAGGGGCCGTTTCCATTCGAATATGAAAAAAAATGTAAAAAAGTACATTAACAAATTCATTCAACTTTTCCCTCACGTTTCAACACGTTTTTGTTTTGGAAATGGACTTGATTCCAGTTGAACATTGTCCGATTCAGTCACTAGCCGAGTCTGAGTCAAACCGAGTTCAAAAGGTAACGAGTCTGATGCCAGTCACGAGTCAAACAAAAATAAACAAATAAACTGACTCGAGTCCTCCAAAATATACCCGCCTGAATCACCTGAAGGAGGGGGGGGGGGGTGATAATTCAAATTACGTTTGCTGAATAATTACTCATAAACCTATTATGGGACAACTTTTCCTCCCACTCCCCATTTTAAATTGAATAAATCTGTATTGCCAAAAAATACACCAAATAAATTCAATTAGATAAAAAAACGCTTCTTTGCCATTTAAAAACTCTCCGATCAAATTCAAATACAAGTGTCAATAACAGGACTATTTAATAAGGAATCGAAATGTTAAGGGTCATTGAAAAATGTCCAAACAATTAGAGTGTTGTCTGCTAAATGAGTAACGCCTACCTCCTGTAAGTCATTTAAAAAGTTGAACAAAACATACAGTTAGCACATCACTGATTAGTTTGAAGAAATCCCCGCTTTATTGAAAATAAACAAGTTTTTTGGGCAATATACAGACAAACAAGTACAGTGTAGTGCATTGTAGACGAGTGTACGGTACTCGAGTGCGCGGTCGATCTTTTGGACTTCGTTCAATTGGCACTCAAGGGTATTTATTAGTATCTTCCCGTGTCAGGCTTGTGTGACTCCTTCTGTTTGCACAAAGTCAATTGCATTCGCGTACTGGTATCGTGAAGCCCTGTGTATCGGCCTTACACATACACAAATGCAAAGTACAAGCCTGCATACAAAACATGCACCACAGTTTAATAAGCTATAGCTGTAGCATTTAATTGTTCTAAAACACTGTTTTTCTTTCCAATCAGGAACTTTGTCATGAAATACCTAGCTAGGACAGTGAAAACATTCCTATTGGCCAAGAACCGATCACGTTGCTTGAATTTAACCCTTTGTAAAAAAATCAGGTTAGCATCTTACGTATATTTCAGTATTCACTATTTACATACTTTATCTCATGAAATCTATATGAACTAAAATCTTCTCAAAACATATCGATGATGTCGAGAATATACATTAATGTATTGGACTTTTGGTTAAAAGATACAACAATTCTCGAAACTTCTGTTCATGATAACTCGAGTGTTACGTGCATGTTAGTGACAATGCAAATATGAAAACAAGAGCTAAAACTTCCCTAAGCTGTTTTTTGGTCACTTCAGGATTCGTCTATCATGTCTATATGATTATCATGAGTCGTAATTATCACATGATTTGTTTACATGTAATGTTTTTGATCAAGTTTCTTAAAATATACCAACCCATTCATTGAAGCAGCTGAAATCAACTAATAAAACTAAGTTTTGAAATGAGCTAAGTCAAATCAACAGAGAATGATCACATTTCGAGAAATTGTGTATTTACAGGCAGGCTAACAGCAATTAAACGAAATGTCTTAGACAGAACAATCAAACTTAATTTTGAATTTGACTCTACTTGAAATATTTATACAGTTTTTAAATTATCTCGAGATTTTTGGGAAACTGTGTCAATTTTTTTTTTGACAGTTGAAAGAAATGTAGGCTATGCATGTATCTTGATCATTGAGTTAAAAATTAACCAACACTGTTTTTTTCTTTTTAATTGAAAGCTAATCCTTGTCATTAAATCCTTAGGAAAGCTTATACATTCCTATTGGTCAATAACCCATCACGTGGGTTTAATTGGAACCCTGTAACAAATCAGGCCTTCTCGTTTTCAGTATTCAATATTTACAAACTGAGTAGCATGTAATCTAAAATGTACTCACAACATATAATCGTAGATGTCGAGAAAATTCTAAATATATAATTGAACTGTCAGTTATTACATCAAACATTTCTCGTGACTTCTATACAGTACATAATAACCTGAAGGTTATGCTGGTTTTAATTAAAGAAACAAAACAATGTTTCGTTTCATAGGAGCTAGCTCACATGATTAACATCATGAATTGTAATAATCACTGCATTTGTTTTCCATGGAATGTTTTTTTTTATTCCACTTTCTTCCCGAATTTCAATTTCTCTACATAGCTCAACCCATTGAGGCAACTGAAACCAACTAATAAAACCTTGTTTTGAAATAAGCGAAGTCAAAATCAGCATAGGATGATTATATTTCTTAAACTGCGTATTTACAGGCGGGTTAAATATAAATTACAATATGTTTTTAACAGAACGATCAAGCTTAGCTCTACAAGTGTCGCAATTTCCAGGCAAAGGCTTCGATCTGCTGTTGTAAGATGAACGTTTGCCAGAACTATTGTGGTGTAGGCCTGCTATGCTTTCGGGCCGAATTCATTTTTGTTGTTGTCATTCTGGAGTTTCATTGTTTATTTAGTCTCTCACAGTTGGTCAATGAGCGTCTATTGTGCACATAATTTTGCCAATGGGCTACGATTTGTATTCATATCACATTGACACCCTCAGTTGTCAGAACCAGTATGTTGTTTGTTGAAAAACGAAATACATCTAACGTATGAGAGAAACTGATATTGAAACAAAACTGTAATCGTGTTATCTCAAGTTTTCTTTCGAATAGCGTTTTAATTTGTTTATCCTTACAGTACTTGAGCTGAGGATGAATGTTAATATACATGAATGAAAAACCGTATTTGCTTTTAGAGTTTTTCTTCTTCAATTTGATTCCTAAAGCTTTTTCAAAATTATCACCGGATTGATTCAATGTAAACTTTTTTATCTTATCCTTTTTTCTTTTGAATGAACTGAAAAGGATGACTCATTATAATTATACTTGACGAAATTAAGACAACCGCCCACTTTTTGTGGACAAAATTGACCGATTGATCAGCAAGTCAAAATGATACAGGTAACACATGCAGTCCAATACCGTACACGTTTTTTGTATGATACGTGATGTATCAATATTCTAAAACTTTTAATTCATTGTTGTGATAGGACCGCTCTTTACTTTTTCTATCAACATGCCTCAAATGATGCGAAATTGACATGACTGATTACAATGTTGTATTACACGTGGTGATACATTTTGACTGAGTTGTAGTCAGCCACTGCCAGCTGCCCATCAGATGAGAATGTGATACCCCGGGGGATGTACAGACCCTGTGCGATGCACTGGAGGAAGCCACCTTGAGGGTCATAGTGGTGGATATGACCCGTGTTGCCACCATTATGCATTGCAACATAGATACCTGAGCTATCAGTGCATACACCGAAGCAGTTACGTACTGGTTGACCATTGATGGTGGGTTTGATGGTGCGTTTTGTAGTACCATTGCCACCGGCAATATCCACTGTCTGTGATGAAAAGTCACTTATTATAACCCGATCATTGCTGTCAAAAGCTAGAAAATAAGGTTTAATCTTGACTGGTATGGTATGAAGGAGCTCACCATCAGTGGGGCTGTGCACTGTCAATACCATCCTCGCCACATCTCCCACTGCAATGGTACCATCATTCTTGACAGCTACGCTCTGGAGGTTAACCGTGGTCTTACCAACCTCACTCGGCGGCACCGTTGGGAACTTGTATGCCAGCGTGTTGTCGCTGTTGAACACCTT